CACTATTCACTTCTATACACTCCTATTAGCTGAATTGAATTGTTCTTTGGTCACTTTCTATTGTAATAAAATATTTTTTCGTAACAAAGATTTTCAGAGAATTCCCTATTTATTACTATTTTATTTAATTTTATTAACAAAATCGCTAAAAAAATTATTACGAATTAATTTTATCAAGCCTTTCGAGGCTTCTCTTTTTCGCGATCTTCGAAAATGCTGCGACAATTCTCGACTCTGAAACTCTCCGTAATACGACTGTTTGCAAATCGCCCTGTATTTCGCGTTTGTATAGAATTTACCGCGCACAATAACGGAACAATTCCGTGAAGTTCTTCCGCTTTCTTTAAACTGCACAGCTCGCTAAAGTGTTTAACGATCGGGGCATTAAGGCCAAACGTGACGTATTGTAGTCACCAAGTCGATATTTTAATCTTCGCGACCCGACTACACCACCGCTGCGGCGCCGCGCGCCGCACCACCGTGGATCCGTATCCGCGGTTTGGAATAAAAGACGCGTGGCGGAGGGGAGAGGGGACACGCGGGAAACGTGTAAAGGGTGGAAAACAAGCGACCGAAAATGGAAGAGCGACTCGATGGGGGTTGTAAAAAGGGGAGCGGGGGTGGCGGGAGCGACTCTCAGCCGCAACCTGCCGAAGAGTATCGCGGGATAGATAGCAAGATTTATGGCGTTGAAGAGAGAAAAGGGAAGTTTTGCGCGCGCGCGTGTATGCGCGAGAGCCGAGATTACATTGCAAATAATACCGAGAGCGCGGCCCGCTCTCGGGATCTCGTAAAATCTAATATCCAAACAGCGGCGCTCTACATGTCTGCGCGATCTGCGCGAGCGAAATTTATCTTATATCGCGATTCTCTCTCCCTCTCGCAGTATGAGTTTCGCCGCGCTTTTATCCGGAATTATACAAGCCGATAGTCCGCCCGGCGCGACGATTTAACCGTTTCGGCGGGGAGAGAAGCGCACCACCACCGAGAAATTTTAAACAAAACAACAAATTGAAACAATTCTCGCAACAAAGGGATCGAGGGCCGGAAGATAAAAGCACGGGAAGAACGTATGCGTGGCACGTAACGGCTCAAAAATCCGCAACAACAACCCTCTCCCCCCCTCCCCCCCGCGGGCAACAAAAGGGGCAAACAATGTATGTTACTAACAGGGAATAGAGCGCGGTATAGGAATAAAGGAAGCGAGAGAAAAACGAGTAGAGGGCCCCCGCGAACAAATGCGAGCGTGCAAAAACAAATAATGGCAATCGAGTGTATCCGTTACAGGCAATATCGGAGCTGGAAGGTGGCGGAGAGGCGGTCGTTGAAGATTCACCAGGTTTTCATGACGTTTGACCGCCGTCAAACCGCGGGACGAACGTTTCGACGAAAAAACGCGTTGCGACTGACGCATAAGCGTTCTCTCTTTCACGCTTTTCTTGTTTTTTTTTTTTTTATACGTGTACACGTAACACTGAGGTAACACACGCGCGTACACATATACATCTTTCCGGGATTTCCGCGCAATCGTGATGCGAATGCGAGTGCGACCGGCCGTCCGCCGTTCGCCGTTTTCAGAAGCCATAATTCAAGCTTTAAAATATCGTGAATCATCGCGGGAACGTAATGCTGACGTTTTTCAGCGAAAGCCTCGAAACTTGACGCAGGTAATTTTTCGAACTAGTGGCAAAAAAGACGGGAGCGATGGAAAGAGGGGAGGGGAGACCAAAAAATGAAACGTATCTCAGGAGACTCGGCCAGCCGTAGGTTCGCTGCGCGAGCAGTTTCACGTTAAACTGCGTTGAACTTCGCTTCCTCGGGGAGAGACGGGGGAGGAGGCGGTGAAAAAAACGCGCGAGGGAGATTCCTTAGTTCGCATTAGCATGCTAATGAACGGCTAGTCGCGTAACGTTCTTCGTCGGCCCTTATCGGACAGGTAACGTTACGAGCGAGGAAGGCGGGGAAGGGGTGATTTATTTTCGCGTAATCCTCCGGCGTGTGTGGGACGCTCAGGACGGACCGACGTGAAAAAGCCACACGCTTACAACCCCCTAATATCGAGACGCGCGCGTTTCCGGGACCATAAATCCGGGACGGGTGTTCCGTACGTCCGAAGATACATACACGATACACGCAGCGCCGGAAGTGCACATTATTTGATAAGCGAAATCTCGATACGTTCATTATTTTCTTAGCCGCGGGGCGAGTATCGATTTCCGGCGTCAAATGAGAAAATGTTTCTCGATAAGCAAATATAGCGCGCGGCCGAGAATATGTTTGCACACTAGGCGCAAACCGATAGGCGCGCACTTGAATAGAGGTGCCGATAATTATAACTTTAATTAAATTATTCAACAATTATAATTAATTATTTCCAATGATTGCATTGACAGCGGCCATTTCCGCAGACGCGCGCGGTCCTCGGCACGGCGTAAACACCAGGCCATCGATATTGATCGATCGGAACGATCGGCCGCCGATCCGCCGGGCTAAACAATGTACTAATTACCGTAACGATCGTCCGATTGTAATTTCCCGCGGCCGACACCGCACATTAGGGAGAACGACGATCGAGATCGTGACGGGGCGAGATGTCACTTAGGACGATTCTACCTCGGCGACGACGATTTTTTTCTCCCCCCCTCCCCCGTCACCGCCCTCCTCTCAAGCCTCTGTTTCCCATTTCCTCGACAATGATGGCGGCACTTTCCCTTCTGACTTTCGTCGGAAACGGAGTCACTCCGGTGATTTCCACCGAGGAAAAGTGACAAATATCTGCCTATCTGCCGTGTTTCCGCGCTGCGCAAATATACCTTGGCACTTAGCACGTTTTATCGCAATACACGAGTACAAGCGTAAAGATATCGCGCGTACAGATATAGCACGTCCGAGTGATTTATCGATCGTTCTATTGATTTTCTGTACGTGATAACGACAACTGCGCGTTACGAAGGCCAAGTTGGGCGAGAAACGATATAGACATTGATTTTACGTATCTTAATACTTTTATACACATTCTTCAGACTCTTATGTATACTTTAGATAATTTCATTTCTAATACCTTTTGTTTATATAAAGTATGTATATAAAAGCGAAATTGTCGATTGTGATGTAAGACGGAAGAGAGTGATTATTTCTGGAAAAATAAAAGTTGAAATTATATAACAATAATCATTTCAGATGAGATTTTCCGAGAGAGAATCAAGTTTGAAACAGATTGAAACAGATGATATTTCGTTTTCATTTGCGTATATAATCTTCGGAAATCTTTGTCGTTGAACTCAAGTCGACGTGTTATTCAACGCTATAAAGTTTAATATGACAGTTTAATATAGAATGTATTTTAATTAACGTCATATTATATTTTTAAAAAAGTCTTGATATTTTATACATAATTCAATAATTTATATATATTGCATATTTTGATTTTTTATTTTATTCATATTTATAATAGTTCGTCGCGTTAAAATGACGTAAACGGCAAAGTCTTTTTATATCATCTAAATGTAAAGGAGAGGAATTTCCAAATTTCCAAAGCCAATTTTCAAAAAAATAAAATCTTGTATGAAAAATTTTGTTCTACGTAATCTCGATTTATTTTTTTCAATCGTTCTTTGCTTTCTTTCCTTTCGTATCACGATTGCTGATCCTGTATATAAATGTGAATACGGGAATTTGAATGCGAAAAAAAAAGTCAGATTTCACATACCTACAAGTGCGCAACTTGCAAAGTACGCGCGCCGCGGAACCAATCTTCTCGGTACACTCAACAAGCAGCAGTTCGATGCTTATAGAGCAAAGCCTCTTTGATAAAGCGGAATTCGGATTCGCGGACGGACAAAAGACGCCGCCGCTCGACCGACATCGGACGAATCAGATTGCAAACGGGGGAGTTCGGCGCAACGCATTTCTAAGCCCGCCACTGTTGTTGCAATAACTACTCATTAGTAGTAACCGAATTGAACCAAGCCGAGCGAAACGAGCGCGGCGATGCTCGTGCGAGCGAGTTAGCGGTATCGCGCGTAACAATATTGTTCGGCATCGCCAGACAATTTCTGCATTGTCTCCTAGCGTTAAACACCAAACTCGGGAACGCCTACGCTCCTCCACCGTAATCTCTCCATTCGTTCGCGGGCTGAACGAAACGAGGGAACGACGGAGGCAAAGATCCCGGGCGAGCGAGACTTCTCTTCTTCCGAAGTTCGACATTATCGACGATGCTTAACTCGTTGCCGTGATAGAGCGTCATCGGACCGGGATGCTGTTGATGGTAGCAACATAAGTGGTCGTATTGGTGTCGGACGCAAACGTTTCTCAGGGAGCAATTCCCTCCTGCAGCATCAATTCCATTTCTATTTCGGGAAGGATCCCGGGCGATTCGATTCGCGTCTGCATCGCTTCGATCTCGATTACAAATTGCGCTAGTAGAACTGACCGCGCTGTGTGCAATAAATAATAGGGTAGAATGATTGTTTCCGCCTCGTCAGCCACTCCGTCTCTGTTTCGTCTCGGTTTCGACTTCGCCGGGCAAGTCGACGTCGTCGCCCGTCTAAAACGTTCCTACTTATTAATGAGCGGTAACAAAGGCGAAATGTCTTTATAAAGCGGAAAATGCAGGCTCTAAGGAGCAATAAAAAAGGAGGAATAAAATTTTTTCTCCGGGAAAAAAAAAGAAAAATAATATTTGCTATACTTTTGCCTCCCACGGGAGCCACTACGCGGTGGAAATCCAGCGATCGAGCGAGAAATAAAATAACAAACTCGACGTAAAGAAGTCGTCGGTTTTTATCTCGTCGCGCTTCATGGGCGATTATTCCGCGATCATGCGTTTTTTTTTCACCGATAAAAATGATCGGCACAGCGATATGACCAAAGTTTGGGATTGACCATTTTTGATATTTTTACATATATAAATAAAAAAATGGTTACTTTGCGTGAAATGCAGAGATTTGGTGTCGCCATGGATTTAATTGGTTTTTTTGTTTGCTTGTTGCACACAGGTATTCGACAAACATAATCGTGGGTATATTACTGCGTCGGACCTTAGAGCGGTGCTGCAGTGTCTGGGAGAGGATCTTTCCGAGGAGGAGAGTAAGTCTTAGATATTAACGCATTCATTGATGGCCCATTGCGATGAACGTGACGCGATTACGCGGATATAACGTGCGTTGGCGTTATGTCTGTCTTTTTCCCTCTCTCTCTCTCTCTCTCTCTCTCTCTCTCTCACTCACTCACTCACTCATTCACTCACTCTCTCTTTCTCTCTCTCTCTCTAAAATACTTTCGAGGAGAAACTTTGGCTATAAAAGCTAAAGTAGGCTATTTCCACCTAAATTGGCATACCTAAGGCCGATTGATTCACGAGAAGCGCAACTTCATGGCAGAGTTGGACATTATACGGATAAATTTCTATTTAATGCGGAAAGTTTCATTTTTAAACAGTCTTTTTCATGCGTTGAACGTGAACAGAATTTTATTCGTCAATCACGTTATTGTTAATTAATAATGTTATTGCAGATCATATAAATTGCGCTAATAAACTAATGCAGTTTTGCAATTCTACAAAAGCAATCGAATTTTAATTATTTCTAGGTAATACTGTTCCGAAATAAATGAGCTTAAACTACCTAATTAAGTAGCATTTTAGAAGATTAAAATTGATGAGATTTATTCGGGCTCATAGTTTTGTTGAAAATTAATCAGATTGCAATTTTGCTTAGTTAAACGATAATCCGTGTGTACTGTTTTTCCGTAAAAATATTTTAAAGACTTTTTTCCGCATTATTTTGATACATCGTGCGATAAAAAATAATACAATATATTTCTGAAAAAAATATCTTTAAAATATTTTTACGGAGAAAAACAGTACACACACGGATCATCGTTTATATCATTTATTTCATCTTTATAAAATAATACGATATATTTCGGGCAGAAAAATTTATTTGTATATACCGCATGTACACGTACAATTTTTCTTGTACAAAGAATATCTTGTATACAAAGAATTTTTTTCTACCTGAAATACTATATCCCATTATTTTTGAGAAAGAAGAAAAGAGTGTATGATCTTTTTCTTCCCAGGAGTTATCGTAAATTTTGCCCCGCAATATTATTTGCGCTCTTGTCCCTTGTTATTCCACGGAGACTTAAATTTCCTAATTCCGCATGTTGACGCACGCCCATCGTAAATCTGGGACCGCGCGTCTTTAGTCCGCATCATCCCACGTTTATATTTCTCGCCGAAAACGTCAGCACGTCGCCCGCGTTCGTTCCAATTGAGTGTTTGCGCAAATAAAGCAAGCAACGGATTCGGCTGAATCATCCGCGCTAGCACAAACGCCGCGTCGAGACAAATTTGCCAACAATACCGATTATTCTGCGGCTATTGTCGTAGATTATCGTGGACCATGTATCAGCTGCAAACTAAGGTCCAATTAACGAATAATAAATCGATGATTTCCATAAATTACAAAGAGATCGTATTTTCCGTGTAGGTATCCATCGTACTTTCCGAGATCGATGATACAAATGGTATCGATTAAAGCTAAATTTATTTTAACTTGGGAATAGTCATGATAATTTTTACAGCAGCTTTTTGGTCAAGAATCTATATCTGTTTTTTTTTTACTTTTTTATAAAAAGATCGAATAAATCTATAGATATAAATAAAGAGTGAAATAATTCCAAACTCCCTTTAATCAATAAATAAAATACAAGGGCTATGGGGCGTTAGCGCGGTAAGCATGGTGCGCAATAAAAAATTAAATTAAATACAAGCAATTTTTAATAGTATAATTACATAGTAGCTTTGTAGGATAAAATTACATAGCTGTTTCATACGTTTTGACTGATCTTTCAGTCATCTTCAGCGAAATACATAGGATAAAATAACGGTTTCCGTCCCACTGCATAATTGCAGGTTTTACAGTGAACCATCGTTATTTTATCCTATGTATTTGGCTGAAGATGACTGAAAGATCAGTCGAAACGTACGAAACAGCTAATTTTATCCTATCAAGCTACTATGTAATTATATACTATTAAAAATTGCTTGTATTTAATTTAATTTTTTGTTGCGCACCACTTACCGCGCTAACTCCCATAGCCCTCATATTTTATTTAATTCTATACATATATATAAAATAACCAAAATATTAATAAATTGCAGAGAGCATTCCATAACACGATATATAGTTGATAACAGTGGCCTTTAATTGGAATGTAAAAATCACCTCAGATGATCGGTTTTTTTATGCAGTAAAAAAACTAAATTGACTATTCCCGATTAAATTTGCTTCAACAGGGTTTGTGCTATTGCAAATTGTGTGGTTCTCCGGAACAATTTAACATTGGCAATTTGTACCTATTAACGCAAACCACAACCAGTTGCAAATCACGACGTGTACCATCTCAGACGCCGGGTTTAATCGCGATGCGACAGTCGTGTTGACCGCCTTGCGAATTTGCGGATATCGCCAATGTATAGTGTCTCGTCGTCACGTCACACATCACTTCGTTCAGCGTCGACGCTTTGCATTCGACATTTGAAGAATGACGTTTCGAGATCGGCCGCGGACACATGCGGGCGCCTGCAAGTACGCCGGTGTTAATAAACGGATAAAAATACAGTTCCGGGTTACCGCGGGCTGCCCCAGGAAATGCGAGTAAAAAAATCTCGCGTTTCGCGTTACGCGTTTGGTTTCTCCCTCTCTCCTCCTAGACACTCTTCCGGGCGATCTTAATTGCCACGGTGCGTTTGTATTTTTTTTTTTTTCGCGCGCGCGAAAAAAAAGAAAGCGCATTTGAAGAAGCGTTTAGGAGAAATAATTGGCTCCCCGTGAGGAAACACGGTTTGTTCTCTTGCGCGATATAATTGCACGCCAGTTAATTACGCTCCAATAAGAACGAACGGGTGGGCAGTGGACACGGAAAATGTGATCAACACGCGGCTATTAATTCAGATATGATTTGATCGTTATCGCATTGAAAAAGTGTTGACGTTATCGGGAGAGTTGAAACGCGAGAGTTCTTGCGCGTCCGTCGAGCGTTGGATACGATGGGAGAAGTAATTTCAGCGCAGAGAGAGAGAGAGAGAGAGAGAGAGAGAACGTCGGTGAAACGTGAAATATGTACATCGGGAAGTGCGCTGCTTATATCGATTGATTTGATAAATCTTGTACGAGAACGGACGATCGACACAAGTTCCCTGATTGACCGCAATCAGTTTAGACTAAATCGCACAATGTTCCATGGACAATCGTCCCACAATTGGCAGAATTACAGTTTATGAACTACGCTACAACTGTCGTATGTCGCTATGTCATACCTAATATTGTGCATTCTTCTCTGTAATTAATTAACAGAGAATAAATTACTTATTCTTATTTTTTTATTATCCTCAATTTGCTCGTTTTTTTGCCATTGTCTTTCTCATATTGTGCATTTTTGTCGAACGATAACTTAAATGACGTCAAAATCTATGCCGATCGAATTGTGTTTCTTTATACAGAGTCAATTATTTGTTTAATTTATTACAAAACCCATAAGGTGTTGCTCGAAAAACTAGCAGATTGAAACGAAATATGAGTAATTGAGAATATCAGAATATTGACGTCAGTTTCGAATTTAGAAAGATACGAAAAATTCTGAAAGTTATCGCGTTATCGATTAGCATGGGAAGCGATCGCTTGTAATTATTTCGCGTAAGAACGGGGAAACGCCGACGGTCGCTAATGGGAAAATTGAGTTCTCTTATTAACGAAAATTTTAATTTCGAAAATTTCAAGAAGGCATCCCGAGGGGGAAGTCCTCGAATGCCAGCGTGATACCGTTAACGGATCGTTATGCCGTCTTCATTCCTTTTCGTAGCAATAAATTCTACGTGGAAATAATGCGGGTATATCGGCAATATCTTTCTCCCCATCGCGCTATCGGCACTCGTGATACGAATTAATCCCATCGCTCAACGCAGCAAAGATATATTAACTGAATTACTGCAGGGACATAAGCGTATTTTTTTTGTGCAAGGAGCCGTGATAGGAATATGTTATGTTTGCATTCGCATCGGATCCGACACACGCCTCTTAATCCCGCCCGAAATATATCGCACTGTTTTTCCTAAACGCGTCCAATCACGATCGTGAATAAAATAGGAAATTTATTTGCTAATATCTAAGTAAGTGCCTTCAAATCTGTACGCTTTCTTCTACATAAACGAGATAATTTTGTAGATAAATCCGAAAAAAAAGGAACAATTTAATTGTAAGTAAACGTTCTTTTTTTTTCTTTCAGTCGAAGATATGATCAAGGAAGTGGACGTGGACGGGGACGGCCGAATTGATTTCTATGGTAAGATTAATTCTTGTATTGTTTCGTGAAAGCGCAGGGATAAGAGTCGGCGGTGAAAAAGAGATTCAATTTCTATTCCAGCACGATCCATCCTTGAAATGATCGATGGAGTCGTATCTAATTATAAAATAGAAGGAGAATGTAACTCTTTACGGAAGAGTAAAAATTGTTCGAGAGACGACGAGAGAGGAAACGGCTATTCTTCTCTTTCTCTCGTCATGTTATCTAACAATTAAATTCCCCTTGTTTATTCGAAAGAGAGCTGGATACTTGCATGCGCAAAGTCTTATCGTTCCAATATTTAATATCTATTTAATCTCTTTCTTGTTTACGATTTCAGAATTCGTTCACGCCCTCGGCGAGCCGGGGATCGACGAGGACGAGGAGGACGACGATGAGGACTTGCAATCTCCGCTCTTCTAAAAATCACGTTTATTCTCATACCTCTCTGTTAGATAAGCCATACCGATACCGGGCAGAAAGCGATGTGCAATCTCGCTTCCGCGAAGATATATTTTCCTTCTCTCTGCGTTACGCAATCCTGCGTGAGTGCGCGTGCGATTGACAAACGGAGAACGGAGGCTCAACTTCGACTTCGTTCGACTCCGTTTCAACGCGTTTCATTGAATTCTCATACATCCTTATTCTCAAATTTCGAGTCAAACTTTTAAATGCTGGAACGCGAACGTCTCCGCTAAGCGCATTGTGAATATAGATTTTAAAAACAAAAAAAAACTTAAAAAATAAAAAATCTGCACCGAGCTACCGTTATCTGCGAATCATCGCGGGTACAGCACGAATTTTCGATGTATACTAAAAAATACACACACGTCATATGCGAACCCCCCGTCGATCGGGGAGAAGTGGATTTTCGATAAATCACGAGTTTCATAACTCGATGGCTCGTGAGACTTGATTTAATTGATAATTAACAGTCACCAGTCGTCCGCTGATGAACGTGCAATATGTGAATGTTTTGAACCGTAATTCTGAAAATAAAATTAAATACATGCGACTTCATGCGAATTCAGTGACTTCAACTCGCATAAACTCACAGTTTACTCATAGATCGAAAAATATGTACGAATAAAAGAATGATTTCCTCTAAAATAAAATAATTCCTCGAGTTGCGATGAAACGAAAATTCCCAGTTGCAAATGTAAGTCAAATAATAAATGTACGCGAAAGTAAAACACGAGGTTACCGAGGAGCACGGTTTTTTCGTTGGCACGCTTAAGTAGATACAGCGATAACCGCCACGAGAGATAATTACGAGGCAGTTAGTAACGAGCTCGGTGAGATTTCACTGCGCTGAGGGCAGAGTGATAAGGTCTTCTGGCGACGCGCCATAAGTTCGCGCGCCGGATGGATCATCAGCGGTCGACTGCATGACTTTTATCTCGTAAAACGGAAGTTTATTCGGGAAGAGCGAAGCCCGTGCTCCTCCGACGGACACGCTAACTGGTACCCGCGACATAATTCCTCGCGACAAGCGGGAGACGAGCATCAAGTGCGAAAACGCGTAAAACTGATTGAGAAATAAAGATATAATTCGTTTCGCACGTGTTCTCGATCCTCATAAGAACGTGCTTCGATGTCGGAAGGCGACACGCGGCTTCTAATATAACTGACTATACCCTCTTCCGAGTCTCTCGATGCCGCACTTGGGGCGAAACTTTAAGATGTAAGATCGATTTTAGACCGTAATGAATTCCGTCTCGTATGTGGACTTTTTTCCTCGATTTTACTCTCGTCTAATAACTAGATAACGTTACATTCTATTTAAAAGTTAATCTTAAGATGGAACGCGCGGACGCACCGCGGAAACTTCTCCGCGATCATGCGTGCGCCGCGATGACGCGATCGCCGAGCGAGCGAGCGGGAAGGAAAAGGGAGGAAATCGAAAGGATCGTACGTGTCGCTCGCTCTCAATTCCCGACGATCCGCGACTATACCGTGCCGAATCGATGGATCTGCCACCGATTTCTTTCGCCTGAAGTTTATCCGGCGACCGGCGGGCGGACTCGACATCGATCTTCGCTCGCTTTGCCCTCCTCGTATTACGTACCTTAAACGACTATATCACTGTTACGCCAATAACAAAGCCGCACGCTGTTTCAAATATTTTAAAGGATTTAATAAATCGCTAAAAAATATGTACCTTCGATTTTATCCCCTGTTCTAAAGTATTTTGTCCATTGATATCAAACGTCTTCTAAAAATTTCCTACTCCTGCTCTGTCCTGTGTGCTCTATCGATTACTGATATTTTTATTTAACCGAACTGCTGGCAAATTTCTACTATCCCTTTAATAATTATTAAAATTTTCATTATTTTATTATGAACAATATTTCCTAAAATATTATGTCCATGTAGTATGAAATACCTCAAGATTTCCGTTTTTTATTTCTGCTCTTTTTTCGATTCGTTGCCGGTAGACTTCCTTCGTCTCTTTGAATATTAAAATTCTCGCAGTTTTAATTATGACACTATTTACTATTAATTATTAATTAGAAAAGAATGAAATCTCATCTTCATTTTTTTCTCCATTTTTTTTCTTCAACGTTCATTTTTATTAGCGATAAATAAACTTACATATCTTTACAGTAACAATGTCCCATTCGTAACTCTCGGAAAATATGAGAATATCTATTCGCGAAGATATCGTGTAGATCAAAACTTCCATCTCGCTTGCCGCATTTGGTTGTTTAAATTCCGCCTCTCGCATCCTCGACTCAACGACGAACGAATGAATGAACGAACGAACGAACACTTTTAAAAAAATCAGTACGTTGCCAAACGGTACGTACATAGCGTAATATCTTAATAATGATCATCGTCTACGTTGCGTACGTTGTTTCACATGCGATCTACGTACAAGTCTTAAACGTTACTTACAGTACTAACGATTAGCGAGCGATACAACAGCCAAACATGAGAGAAGAAGTGAACAACATAAGACCGCTGCTGCTACAAGTATCGTAATAGCGATCGGTACCTATTGGCTACATATTGTTACCGGACGTCCTTTCGCAAATTTTCCGATTGGTTTTCCCTCTCGGACTGTCCTCTTTTTCTTTTTACATTCCCTTATGCCATCCGGCTGATCGTCAACTGGCCTTTACGTGGTCCAATTGCGCGCGCCACCTCTCTTCACCGTAACATCATCTATCCCCCGTCTTTTTCTTTATCTATTTATTATAAATCTAAAATATCTTACAAAAAAATCCTTACGAGAATCCTCTCTGTACAACATTACGTACTTCGTTGCACGATCAAAGCCACGGTGTGTATCAATGATTAGCGGAATTAATCCGGAATTAATTTGATTTCATCGCTCTGCCTATCTTTGATAAGCATAATTATAATGTAAAAAAGGATCTACAATTAATTGATTATTGTATGTAACTAACAGTGCGATTGTAGTAGTGTGATCTCGAGTCTTCGTTTTATCTTCAGATAAAAGATTAGAAAAAAATTTTATACATCTTCGATGTGTGGCAAAATATAATTTGATCTTTCGTCATCGAAAATTGGCATTTTTACTCTACCAGAACAATTTTTATTTTTTTAATTTACTTTTTTTTTCATCATTCCCGTCCCCACAATGATTCATCATTATTACTTAAATAAATCGGCAATTCGTGATCGGACTTTTTATCTGCAACTCGTTCATCATCCGACATCGTTCTCTTTGTATCGAAATTAAACTTATCGATCACAGCATAGAGATCGAACTGCATAAACAAAGTTACGGTGAAAAAGAGCGCAGCTTACTTTATGGTATTACCGTGATTTTCGACAATGCCAGTTAAGAAATAGCCCTCGTTTTTTTTTTTGTAGCTTGAATTAACGGATATCGCCATTCATGCACAAATATTTTGTCGGACAGAAACGAAAAACTTTGTTCCTTCCAACAAATCCTTAAATTAATGTTCTGTTACAAGCCTCTCTCGCACTTATCCCATCAATGCGGGAAAAAAACAAGACGTTACTACTTCTCAGACGTCTCGACGGGCGCTATAAATGTGTGTGTGTCTTACTTGGGAATATTTAGACAGTCTCGCACAAATCCGTCTTGATACGCTCTATATCCGCGAGAAGCGTCAAATCCTTTTTACGCGCCGTGTGCGTGCGTGTGGGTGCCCTCCCCTTTCTCTCGAAGTAGAAGTTCATGCAGGTGAGAGTTTCGTGTCGCAGCCTTTTACCTCTCGATGTGTGTGGTCCTCTCGAAACGAAAAAACGTTCGATCAAGCTTCTACGAATCCGGAAAGCGGATTTCAACCGAATGCAACGAATAACGAATAATCGCGCAGTCGTTTCGTCAACCGCCCAAGAGAGAGACGTTCCCGACAGGACTTATCCGAGAGACGCATTTATTTGACCGCAAAGAAATGGGCCTGTCGTCAAGTCGTATTGTCGGGGAAGTCGAAAGTTGAAAAACGCGTAGAAAAGGACTCGAAATCGAGATGGCCTTGATCGCATACAAAACCTCTCGATCGCCGGCTCAACGATCGTGAGCCACATTAAAGGCAGTATATCAAATGAAAAGTACAATTGTATATGTATAAAAAAAAAAGGTATATATTTTCGCGACCTCGATCTTACCTCGCGAGGTTTTTGGCTTGCTCGTAAAATTATTTTTTTCCGTTTCCCTCGCCGCATGACTTCTTCTCTAAGATATATCGTAACACATAATATCTGTGTCAGTGTTTAAAGCAGCTATCGCTTATCGCGTCTCTCAAGCGTATCGCGTCCCTTAATCGTATACGCGTGTCGGCGACGGGATCCGTTTAACCATTCCGTGGCCGACGATATAATCTGTAGTACGATCGACGGGATACAATGCAACGGCGTGATGCAACACCGTCGATCATGCTGCTGCTGCTGCCCGTCAGCTCGTCGATCAATTTATCAATTATGCCGCGTCTTCGCGCAAAAACAGCCAATCGCGCGCAGTCAGCTACCTATAAACTATTCACAATCAAACATTCCGTCGTAAGCTCAGAAAACTTTACGCTGAGAGAACTTACATCGTCCCTTAAAGTAGGTAAGCATTCTGCCGACCGCGTCTTATTCGCGCCTTCAAGAACGTCCATCGAACTATAGAAAGCAACTTTTCTCGTGCCCGAGATCGTCACGACGACTCGATAATAGTCACACAGTTTCCGAGTCGAGTAGTCGGCAATTATTCACTGCGACGCGGTGTCACCCGGGGAACTATTCAAGACGCATCGCGTATCCCGCTGAAATGAGACGAGCAATAGATACACTCGCGAGTAACGTCAGTTCAGAGACACGAGCAATTCTCCGAGAGATTTCTCTCTCTCTCTCCCCCTTGCGAAGTCTTCTGCATTTAAATGCCGCTCGCTAGCGTCGCTCAGTTGCCGTTCTCGGCGCATCTCTGATGCTCGTTCGTCCTGGCAACGGCGGCGCCTGCGGCCGCGAAGCGCAATCGTCGTCGTCTAACGAGAGCGAACGTCGACGTCGGACGCCGGCGACGGAGACGCGAGGATGGGACCGCGGGACGATTGGGATCCCATCTCGCGATGGGCCCTCCTCAGAGCACGGGTTCCTCGTCGGTCTCGTCGTTCTCGTCGGTTTGCTGGGACGAGGCGGCGCTCGCCAAGGGATTCGTCTTGGTCCGCCGGTGTCGTTTCTGCTGACTGCTGGCGTTGCTGACGCCGCTGTTGTTGCTGCAGGTGCTGCTTATGCTGCTGCTGGTGCTGCCGCTTGGACTGCTACCGCCGTTGCCGTTGCCGCAGGCCAAGTCGAAGGCAGTAAGTTGTCTGTGGGCGGTTATCAGGGGCCGCAGAGCCGTGCGCACGGACCAGTGCAGTCGCGGATACGCGCGTTCCTGTTGGAGCATCAATTCCTTCCTTCTGCTTTGTTTCTGTAATATAGAGTATAGAGGTTAGAGGCTAGTATAGAGATAAGAGAAAATCGATAAAAATGGTGATCTCGATCGGTCCGCTTTTTCTAGAGCTCGATAAACGCGGGGACGCCGACGAGGGGAGCACGATTCTTTCCACGATCGGGCGAACCGCATCCGCTCGAGGAAACGTCCGAAGTGGATGCGTCTTGCAAGTAAATATTACTTTTATAACGACTATATAAATAAATGTAGCTTGATAGCTTAACAGCTAGCTTTAAAAAAAAATACTATGATTTCTGGAATGTATGTAGATTTTACCTCAGACAAAGTTCGCGAATTCTGCGAGATAGGCAGCTTCTTGCTCTCGGCGAACTGCCTCAGTGCCTTCTCTCGCACGTAGATGAACGGTCTGACAACCCTGAGATCCTCTCGACGTATGTAGTAGTGAGCCTTCATGGTTTTCAACACGCCACCGTGTAGTACCGAGATGAGGAAGCTCTCTGTGAGATCGTCCAAGTGTTGACCGAGCGCCAGCACGTTATATCCGTTCCGTTTCGCCAAAGAGTACAATTGCGTCCTAACCGACTTGTCGCAGAAACTGCAGGTTCCGCTGGCAACGCTAGCGTCCAACGGATTGTCGACGTTGACGCTAATCGAATCGGTCACCTGTTCCTCGTAAAAGTAGGGAATCTCCAGGGTCTTCAGATAACTCATCAGTTCCATGGGATCGGAGCCACCCGCGTCGATGGTGGCCGCACCGATCTCGAAGTCGATCCCCTTCGATCTGACATAAAATCTGTATTGATGTAAAGTGTGCAGGAGAGAGAGCGAGTCCTTGCCGATCGCCGACAGGCAGACTAAGACCTTGTCGTTGTCCCGAATCATGTCGAATTCTTGCATAGCCTCCACCGAGGGCTTCCAGATATTCTTCGGCGGGCAGTGCCAGTGTGTACGCGGGAACTCGAGTCTGGACTCGTCGTCAAAATTATTCTCCTGGCCGTCGCCCTCCTCCTCTCGCAGATCGCCCGTGCACTCCTCGTCCTCCGAGAGATTGTCGTTCTGACGCGCTTGCTGCTTGCCGCCGCACTTGGTCGACAGACTCATCATCGACATCGTCCTGGGCTTTCGCCCGTGGTTGTGGGCGGAGTTCGACTCGGCGCTGCTGCTGCGTTTCAGGTCCAGCGAGTCTATCGACTTGTCGCTCTCTTGAAAAGACATGTTTATGCCGCTGTCCTGGGAGCTGACCGAGTTCACGGCCGAGTAGATCTTCGGCAGGACCTTCCGGGCGTCGCCGATGTCGAGGCCGCCGCGTCCCTCCTGCGAATCGTCGTCCACGTAATCGTCCACGTCGTTCTCCACCTCCTCGTCCTCGGTCTTCGTACGAGTGCGCACGATCTGATCGTTCTCGGACGGCTTCATCACGTAAATCACCGTCTCGTCCGAGGAGCACTCGCTCGACATTTTGCTCTCCTGCTGCGACAGCTCGCCGACCTTGCTGGTGATCTCGATCGATCCGCTTTTTCTAGAGCTCGATAAACGCGGGGACGCCGACGAGGGCAGCACGATTCTTCCACGATCGGGCGAACCGCATCCGCTCGAGGAAACGTCCGAAGTGGATGCGTCTGGCGAATACCTGTGAAGGCCGTCAACGGCGTTCACCATGCATCTGTTGAAGAAATTCGTATAAATTTGTGATAACTCTAAAAATCATTAATTAATATTAAATTCATATATAATTTGTGTGATCATTAATTCTATTAAAAATTATTATATTTTAATTATTAATTTATAGTATTATTAATAATAATTAATTTCTAGTATTATTAGTAATAAAGTACCTTATCTCGGATTTCACTTCGCTCGCCATTTCCTTTGAGAATTCCATTAAATACTCGGCGATGTCGCTGGCCGTGAATGAATCGTGCCTCGATTGCTTGTCCTCCACATATAATGTTTGATTAGCTATACTCTGAGCCCGCGAGTGATGCTGCGGGGTGTTCTCGGACGTGTTTGTCTCGGACAAAGCGTCGTCCACTTTGGAAATCACCTCGCGGATCTCCGATTTGATCTCTGTCGCTAATTCCTTGGTCATCTCCTTCACATACGCGCTCAGATCGTCCTGGCCCATGTTCGTCGAGATAGGCGACGATCTGCCACCGCTCACCATCCTCTCGGCAAAATCGCCGGTCGACGAGTACGAGGACGGCGGCGACGCCGGATTATGATTATAATTCAAGGAAGAGATCGAGTGACTCGGGCTGGCAGCGGAATCCAATTCCAGGGAGTTCAACTCCGTCTGACTGCTGCAGCTGCAGTGAAGCCGTGTTCTGTGCCTCGACGTGCCGTTCGACGTGCTCAGTCCCAAGCTGGTCAGAGTTTGCGGGCTCAGTGGAAGCGCCGGGATCGGCGAGGACGCCGTCGCGGCACCGACGCGAGTTCCCTGCACGTTGCATCCGTCGGTGGTGCTACCCAGAGAGTTGCATCTCGTGCGTCCAGCATTGGTCGCCTCCATCAGCTCCCTCTGCTCCTTCGTCGGTCGGGCGGCCGTGCGAGATATCGATCCCAGAACCGAGGTGGTGACGGCCTCGCCCACCGCGAATCTGACCGGCATCGGCGAGTTCGGACACGTGGCGGGTGATCGGTGTCCGCCAGAGAAATTGTTGTATTCACTTTGATTCGGGCTCTCCTCCTCGCTGTTGCTCGACGACGACGGTTGGCTCAGTTCGGCCGTGGTCGCCATCAGGGTTCGCCGAACCGTGCTCAGCGCCGGCAGGCTCCGATGCCGCGGCGAGATCGTCGAGATGGGCGAATTGCCCGTGCGCGGAATGTCGCTGTTCAGCCGTCTCATGCCGTTCGTCATCGTCAGACAGTTCACCAGACTGTCGTGGCAGGTGGTGGCGGCGGTGCTCGTGTGGCTGTACTTGTTCCAGGCCAGCAGCGGATTGAACGGCACGTCCTGCTTGACGTTCTGCGAATTACCCAGGAGAAGATCCTGCGCCTCGCTCGGCAGAATGAACCAGCGCAGCGCTTCCATGCGCTCGCACATGAAGTTGAAGCTCCTGTCGATCTGCAGCGGATAACGCTGCGCCATTTTGCGGGCGCGGTTGAAGATGTTCCGGGCGGTCTGCAGGCAGTCGCCGTAGGTCTGCGGGAAGACACCGGCGCCGGAGGCTCGTCTCTCCGTTGCGTTCATCCGTCCGTCCGTGTATCTGATCGAGCCGAGCCACTTGCGCTCCTTGAAGACGCTGTTGGTGTGGTGCCGCCACTCGCCGGTGTCGGGATTCAGCACGTACTGCGGTAACAGCTTCCAGCCTTCGGTGGCTACCATCTTGAGAGCTTCCAGCACGAAGGCAACCTCCGCCTCGCTCATGAAGTACGGGAAGGACAGCCTGGCGAAGCCTGGTCTTAGGCCCTCCGCGGTGGTCTCTTCGATTCCGTTCCGTTGTCTGAAACAAAATACACTATGTAAGTATCGTATAGTCTGCGTGGCACGACACTTTTATATAAAATAGAATTCTGCGTCAAGTTATGTTCGAAAGCTATCGTAACGTCTATTTCCGTGTATCCATTTCACGTGTATCCATTACGCGAAATTACATCGCACCGAGTTTAATAGACGTCCGCCTCTTGCTTTGTCGATTGTGTGTGATTCACAATAATCTTTCACACGTGCGGCAATATTATCTTACACAAAGCTATAAAATAATTGAATTGATTAAAATTGATATTATAATTCAAATGAAATCATAGTCTTCTTATCTACGTTATTCGTGATAATTTTATTTATGTAAGATATTGACGTCAAAAGAGACTTTCTGTTCGATGGATATTTTCTCTCTCCACAGATTTATGTTTAATGTCAATTAAATCGAAGACGAGAATAATAATTATTAAAACTCATCGCGTCATTATGAATAATGAATATAAACATTTTTAAATTCATTCTACGATTTTATTATGTTTTCTTAATTTAAATCATCAACGTAGCTAGAAATACATCAAAGGCGATTCGAGTTTTTTTTTTTAATTAATTATAATTCGAAAAATAAGGTTTAAAAATAAGATCTTTTCATACAACAATTTTTCTCCTTCTTTGAGTTCTACATTTATCTTCTAAAGTATCTATATATAATTTAGAATCATTTTATATAGAAACCAACTTAAAACAATTCGTTAAATAAAAATTATTCTAATCTCGATGTCGAATATATATAGGTATACCCGTATTTCGTGAAAAATTGACTTTATCGAAAATGATTTTGATAGTTGATATAAAACGCAATATAATATATATATAAAAGAGTTACATACCCTTCCAAGAGGATGCTTTCGTATTCCTTGGCGAGTTCTCGGTCAATTCCCATCAGATGGTGAGCGTAACGGCCTGTGCACGCGCATCCTCCACGTGCCTGGATACCAAAGACGTCGTTCAGCACGGCGCAAACAAAGTTATGATGGAGGAACGTGCCGCGAGGATGGCGCACCATAAACGAGAAGATGGGCAGTCGCTTCACGTTCTGCGAGGAGCTGCCGAGCAGGATCAATTCCGGAATGGTGCGCACGTGGGCCAAGACTTGCCTGAAGAGAAAGCGATAACCATTAGTTATTGCGCTGAACTATCGCAACTGTACGGAGTCAATTGACGGATCTATGTATCGGAGATCTCTCAATTACGTGTGCAATACGACCGGCGTATTTGTACTCGTATAGTAGCGAGCGCGAACTCGCTCGAAGAAAAATCATGACTCGTGGATGAAAAGCAGAGTCCCAAACGACGCTTTCTATGAGTCGGCGCTCGTAAACAGGAAGGCATTCGCTGCAAAGAAATTACTCGAAACAATCGCATTTGTTTCCTGGACGCGATGGGAAGAGTGCCCATCGGAGAGACGTGGGAAAGATGCCTTATCTTACGCAACCCTTGCGCGACGCGATCTCGCTACTTCGATAATGACGTAATGTGTAATCGAGGCACGATTTTTCCCCCCCTTCCCCCCTTGAAAAAGAAGCGAGTGCAAATCTCACCGAGAGATCTTGTCCTGCCGCGCGACAATTGCCCTCGGCGTGACGTTCTCCTTCAGCTGGACCGCCAGTCCGCATCGGATGCTCTCGACCACGCCGGCGGTCCCGCTCTCGCCGCGCAGCTCGGGATCGCGGTGATAGCGATGGGAGTCCCTCATGTCCTCCGCCTCGACGTCCTCCCGCAGGAGCCACCGTTTCGTCACCAGTATACCGGGCGACTGCACGCCGCCGATGAATTTGTGGCCCGCGAAGATGATCGCGTCTTTGTGCACCGCGGTCTCGCCGACCCCGGGCAGGTGCGGATTCATGTCGATCTGGACGTACGGCGCTGAAGAAACAAGAACGGTAAACAACATCGATCACACGCCGCCTCGAACGTGTGCCTTCCATCCCTCGATATCGAATAGCCTATATCATCCGCCTGTTATGTAACGCGCGAGTGCTTACGTAAGAAATCATTATGTCACCAATAATAATATTTAAGTTATCTTGGTTACAAAGATGTTTACGCTACCTTACGAGCGTCATGTACACGGCAAGACGCGTAATTCGCTCGAAGCCGCGGTGACTGAAAATCTTCAGCAGAATCGATATAATCCGAAAAAAAATACCGGAGAATAATTTAATAAATCAAATTCTTACATGCCTGATTAACTAGCCACTCGTGTTTTTTTTTTTCGCTTATCTTAGCTCAAAGATCACGCGCTACGGCGACCGATCGCGGCCAATTAAATCAGCTCGCGACCGATTTTTCGTGCCGATCAAACCAATTACCTGCGGTGGTGTAATCCCACACGCTAAGCGCGCCGTATTGATGCAGCAGGAGGGTCGTCGCGACGTCATCTGCCAAAACCCCCGTTATGCAACTGGCAGCGCTGAAGCATCCGATCATTTGCGCAACGCCCTCGCTTCGCATTCTTGCGAGTCCGCGTTCGAGATCATTCAGATCCAAGAAGCCCTCCCGGGTCTCGGAAACTCGTACTATCTGCAAAAGGCAGTTTAATTGCTTCATCAAAGAATTCGCCGCTCGAGAACGGAGGGACCGCAATTGGACCACTGCAGCAAGCGATCAAGCGTCAATCTCCGACGAAGATCGTGGGTCATACTTGCGGATCATCATGCGCGCGCCTTGAAAATATTTATACGGAATGTCCCAAGGTCCCCGCGAAATTTATTAGGGACAGATTCCTCGAAAACCGGTATCGAATCACTTGCGTTAATACTCGAAGATACGTGTTTGTTACAAAATAAAAACATTGTAGATACAGAAATGTCATTTATATTTGGCACGATAATCTTAATTTATTATTACGATTAAATTGCTCGACCTTTGAAAGTTAGATAATAGATGAAGAAACGGCGCACACATCAGGGTCGCGACGAGTAGGTGGAATGGCCGCTCGCGCGAAGCGACATTTGGCACGCTGCCGAAATTCGGGCTATACAGCTTATATATACCTATACGCCCCGCGTCCGTTGCGTACCGTTCGAATATCTCTCACGCATCTCCTACACGGCCATCACGGCCCGCTTTAACGATCCACTTCGCCGCGTCGCGCGTTTTACTGCCCGCCCCTGGCTTATTATCCGTCCCTCGAATCAACACCGCCACGGCGTGGCGCGCACCGGCTTTTCCACCGGCGAATTTATCTGTCGGCCGGCCCCCGTTCGCTTACCTTGACATCGAGCTCGCGCCAAGGCCTCAGGTTGGCGTGATGCTCGAACGGGCCCACGAAGACCACGGTGGACTTGGAGAGATCGAGGTGCCGTAAAAGTGTGCGAAGGGCAGCGGCGGTGCCTTGACCGGTGAACAGGACTGCATCCTGCTCGCTAGCCCCGACCGCGTGTCTGACGATGTCTCTGGCCTCATGCCTGTAACAATAAACGTGCGCGAATGCAGGAAGGGAGCCTTGACCTTCGCGGAATCTCGGCGATAAAGAGTTGGCGCGATCTCTTTGCCCCCCACCCTCTCAAAGAGGAGCTGTTGATGACGACTACGTATATACGCTTCTCTTCCGTCGCGCGCTAGACGTGGCTGCGAGTAACGCGGTCCGGCGCGCTGATTCACGATAATAAAGCCATATGCCACATCGGGCACCTCCGGGGTATTCATGAGCAGCTCCGACACGTGTGAGTTCGTTTGACTCGGCCGATTGAACGCCGAGAGTCAATATGGATTTTAGCGGCGTGTGTGGCGTGACGCGAGACACAGGTCGAGGAGAGCAATGCACACCTTCCGCCAAGTTTGCACAGACTCCATCGATTTCGCGCGGCACGCGCGTTAGTCATAAATTTTACCCGCTCGAGGACTCGGGCGGCATTGAGACAGCGCGCCGCGCAAGAAAGTTAATTGCTTTCTCGAATGTTAATTTAAGCGTTTGTCTCCGATCGGTATCTCTTTTTATTCAGTATATTTACCAGAGGATATGTAAAATATTAATACTTATCAAAGGACGTATACACTGCCGGCCAAAAGTTTGAATTAATAAATTAAATTTCAATTTCAATTTGATTATTAATTCAACGATTAACCCTAAATTTTAGATGTGCGCAAACTTTTGGCCGATATGGTAGACATAAATGAATTCCGAGCCTTGATTGAGTGTTATCGCTGCGCTATATATAGGCTGCATTTAATAAATTACGGAACGAAAGCCGATGTACGCCTCAAACGACGCTGTTGTCCCTCATTTGAGATAAACAACACCAGCAATCGTGGGACAGAGGGAGATTGAAATTGCAGACAATTTATTGCGTATTGTGTGCTGCACACGCGGCTACTGAATGTGTTGCCCGTCGTGTGATGAGCCCGTCATTGCATATTGTCATCATTATCGGCGGTCTTCTCGCAGGCCACCGAGTAAGCTCCATGGCCTCCGACGGAGGGGCGAGGGGAGGGGGTGGATATTGATCTGGGACATCAGCGCTAGTATAAACGGGAGAATCGAGACGGGATCGTGCGTTTCGTGCGACAATCACCGCCCGGCCGAGCGAGAGAGAAAGAGAGCGAGAGAGATTAAAAGCAATCCGATCCATGTTTTCCTACGAGCCGTCGCCACCCGGTCGAGGAATTTAAAGCGATCCGGTCCACATTTTCCTACGAGCCGTCGTCGTCACGAAAGCCGTCGTCGCCGACGATAACGGGTAACGATAACGCATAGATGACGGGCGCTTCGTCTGCACTGAGCGAATTTTTTCAGTCGCGATTAAATTTATGTCGCGGCCGAGAAAGTCTCCGGACAATACGACGCGAGCAGCAAAACAGCAGACGGCCGGGCGGCCGCGGCGTCGCCGACCGTCGACGCGACTCGCACGGCTTATCAGACTTGTGGAATGTCGGATTAGAAATTGCGACGGACGATAACTTGACTATAATTGCAAACGCGTCGGCGCGAGGCTCTCTCGTCTGAGGCGTATACGCGTCGAAACGCGCGAAACCGCGCGCCGCGCCTTAACGTTATTTGCATAAAAAAATAAATGCAAACGGTGAACGCGGCGCGGCTGAAAATTCGTCCCGATAATGCCGCGGTGTCCCAGTTACATTGGAATGAAATATGAATAAGATTAATTTACGGCTGGAATAAGTGAGTGAGTGAGCGGATGAGAGAGCGAACGAAAACGTTTTATTATTCGCCAGAATGAAATCCTTTCACGAGAGCAATCGACTGACAAGAGCGGGGAAATTAGATTACGTTAATGAAATAATAATTACGATAAATAATGTAAAATGGTGCCTACGCGGAGAGAGTGAATTAAAAGCTAAATGGAACGAGATGAATGGAAAATTTCATTTACGGTGCAAAGATGTTATAATGGAAGAAAAATAGAATAGAGGAATGAGACAAAGAATTTATAAATGAATTGCAATTCATTGTAACGAAAATTTCGTTACAATGAATTGCAATAAAACAAACGTTTTTTTTACCTCTATTCGTATACAATTCATACACGCGATTTCAATGAAAAGCGAGAGAGGACTCTACGCGAAGCGGCATTTATTTCGAAGGACGAGGAGATCCTCTCGTGCCCATTATCGCTTACCTAAAAAGAGAGGATTGTAGACTGCAGATGGACGTGGATGCCCGAGTGTCGCCCAAACATGGCAGCACCTCCTTGGCGATGTAATCTTCGAGGAACTGTAGCGACCTTCCCGAGGCGGTGTAGTCGCAATAAACCACTGAAACACACAAAGTGACGGCGGTGAAAGATGGATGTAAAGAATAGGTTTCTGCTTTCGCGAAGGAGTTTTCCATTCGGAATCGCGAGAGCTTCGTTTTTATTCGCACTTTTGATCTCGTCGTCGTAAATCGCCGTCATCGTGCGCGTCACTTTATCGCGAATGCTCCAGAAAGTGAATTAACAGTACGAACATGCACTAACTGCTCCTCTTTAATGAAATAATATTCATTTTTAATAAACTTCGCTTTAACAATTCACTTTAATAAGATATTACTCATTGACTTTTATCTCGAGAAATAAAGGAATAATTGCCGAGGGATAATTAGGAATTAACAGCGATTGCGATTAAACCAAGTCGGGAAGAAGTCGATTCGCCTATCGTTAATTTCTACATAAAAAATTCCGCTCGTGTTTCACCTCCTATTCTCGACTTGCGCATCGCACGAAGGCGTAAATTTACCGTCTGCGCGAGCGAGTGCAGCGTGGCAAACACAGGACGGTCTATTTGCGGGTGTACTTTGTCGACGATGTGTCGAGGCGTTAAAATATCTGGCGTAAGAAGCCCCGTTTCCGTCGCTATTTCCAGTCTTTACCGAGTCCCAGAGTTTACCGGGCGGGAGAGAGGAAGGAACGGCGCAAACGGCAAAACACAGCGAACACCGCCACCACGTCGTCGATTAAAGTCGATGCCCGTGAGGCGAGTCGAGGTCCGCGTTTGCGTCTACCACTTCGAGACCCGTTCAGAATGTTGCCCGATATCAAGCCGCCTCCCCGCCCTCGCCGTCAATGGGATTCGTGCCGACGGCACGATCAGATTGCACGGATCGCAGGGTATGCAAATTTATTCGCGACGCGGGGAATCTGTCACATCTCCATAATTACTTCATGCGCCCCCGCCCTCTCAGAAGGAATTTCTGATAGCGAGACAAAAAATATTCTTGACGTAAGTACTTAATCTTATCGCACCATTATACGGTATAAAACTAAAATAATATTACGATTAGGTCAGTAATTCCTATTAATTCTCCCTCGAATTAAATAAGATTGACTTATTGTCTTGAAATCAGAGTAACATATATATTATTAAATTTGAATGTTAAATATATATATAAGAAAATAATATATATATTCAATAAATTTCAAAATTTGTCACCTGCTTCCTCAGAGGCTCGTTGATGAGTACGGGAATTGGCGTTTCCCGAGGCACTCGAGCCATTCATGTTGCGTTTTACTTGACGCTCCGCAACGCTTTCGGAAATATTTCATCCTTGTTATTTATTTTTATTAAATATTTTTTATTAAATATACAAGGAAAAGTGATGTTTTTCAATGTTGCAAGAATCAAGTGAAACGCACTGTAAACAGGATTATCATATTTCCTATGCCTATTAGAATATCATAATGTGAAAGAATAGATAAGAATTAAGAAAACGCGTTTACATTTTAATAGACGCATTTATAAATATACGTAACAGTTTAACGATAGTTAACTTTACATATTCTTACGTTAAATCTTTACCCGGATTATTTAACGCATGATACACTGGTGCCAATGTATTTGGCACGAAACCAATGTGCTACCGTCTTTCCTCCATGATTTTAGATTGGATTTAAGAATTTTCTATTCGAGTATAAAATTATTCCTCTCTCAGGAATAAATATTATTTTATATAAATATAAATCCTATTTTAGGGTGATAGGTTGAAAAACTTTGGATCCAGAAAGCTTTTCCACGCACCGACGCCGAATCGGGCGTTGTAAATCCCGGCAATTTTGACGAACGCGAAAGACGACGCGAGGCGTGCCAGCTGATCTACTATACGAATTCGCGGTCCGATTCTTTTGCAGTCCAATCCGCGGTTCATCACGATCGAAGAAGGAAAAAAAGACAAGAAAAGACCGGAGAAAGCCGCTCTTTCTTTCACTTTTCGAAAGACAATGGCGCGGATCTCTTCCAAAATTTGCCACGCCGCGATCCCTCGAATTTCCGGCGCGTGCAGCGACAATTCCGCTCATTATCGCTTTATAGAGCGGCGTGCGGTTTTTCTTGTTCAGCGCGAGTGCAAGTCGAATCCGCCGGGGGAAAGCCAAGGTAGGCGAGGGATAATGACTCGCAGGTGTTTCTTACGAAAGCGCTTGATCGACAACCGGTCGCGGTGCGGCGAAATTATATACGTGAGGGAGCTAGCGAGCGAGCGAGCGGGACTTTCGAGAGTTTAGGCACGGTATATACGCGCTTTTAATACATCTCTCTCTTTCTCTCTCTGTCTTTCTCTGCCTCCCTCTTTCTCTTCGCGCGAGCGACAGCGAGACGAGGCCAAGAAGACGCAATATGAATCCGCTGACTCGGCGACGGACATCACCACGATAATATCGAGTTCTGTCTCGCAGGTACCCGGTATGAGGTTTGCTCTCCGCTTCGCCGTCGCCACCGCGTCTAATTGCACAGGAAAATATCGTGAAAATATCCCGGAGATTATCATCTAACAGTTCCTCGCGGCGATCTCCTTCATTTTATTCTTTTTTTTTTTAATTCAACTGGAATCAGCAGTATCTCGAGGCCGGGTAATCGTCGTCGATGACGCAATCGCGATCGGGAGTGCTTATTATCTCCTAAGACCTAATGTTACGATCGGAGTGCGCAGGCAGGCACACTTTTCTAATCTTGAAAGGAAAAGCGGCGCGTCACGAGGGGTATTTGTATCATTCATTGCGCAACGATCGACTCTTCGATCGCATATACATATACATACATGTATGTATGTATATGTATAGACGTGAGATTAACCGAGCGCACGGAGAGGCGCACACAGCGCGTTTAACTTATTTATCATCGCGGATCGAAATGAGCGGGTGGCTGACAGCTCGCAATTCGCTCTGGGCAGGCCCCCGGTGGTTTTTATTAAATTATGTCCGATCGGCCCGGGGGCTCGATCTATTTCCTGCCGGCCGTCGTATAGATGACGTCGGGATAGTATATATACCTCGAGCGCGAACGTCGCGCGCTCGTAATCGATGCTCAGGGCGAAGTGCGCGATCTTGTCGATAAAACGGAACGAACGATCGCCGCGCGGGAACGCAGCCGAGTCGCGCGGCCGTAACTTTCAGTTCCGCCGACACGATAACTGATTTCGCGGAAATGATTTGAATGCGTAACGAGCGCGATTCCGTGGAACCTTATGTCATACCCACGGGACATGTAGCGCCGCGACATGCGGAGACAGCTTAGCTAGGAAAAGTGTCCACAGATGTACGAGCCGTACATAAATTTAATTTCTCCAATTTTCAGAACGAAAAACAGTCGTTACATGCATATATGCTTCTGCTATATGTATGCTATAGCAAGATACGTTTTTTATATACACGCAGAAATAAAGATGTATCAGTCTCAAAATAATCTTTACTCTGTCTTTATCTATCTTGTATTATATATACTTTGTCGGTCTAAGGCAACATGTATAAAAATAATCTTGTTAATCAAATAACAGTATTAATGAAACAAATAAGATTTTATTAAAACAAGAACGCATGACGTGCTTATTTCGTTAATGTCGTTACTGAATTAGCAAGCTTATTTTCAATCAGACAGCTGTTACCTAATGCTATTTCCATGCGATTATGCCGAAGATTAAAGGTACGTCTTTTTGCGTCATTGTGTGTAAACTTGACCTAAGCTAACCGGATCTCGCTTGAATCCCGAACTCGCCACAGCGCAGAACCGCAAAACGCTCCTCTCTTCGGACATCGGCAAGGCTGGTTGTCGCGGCTTGGAAAGTGTTACGTGTGGATCTCGGGGACAATCACTTTCTCCCTTCCACCGAGACGCGATATATTTGCATCTGCCGAAACGTAATCGCAAGTTACGCGAGCGAGCTGAGGAGCGATTGCTTCCGAGGTGGCAGTCCGAATAACGAATTAATGTCGCGAACCAAAATCGACCATGTTTTGCCATACGAAATTAGACAAGTTTTTCTAAACTTCATCCTCTTGTTTTTCTGTAACTATACAATTCGCGCATGACAAATGCGAACACGTTTATTACCGGGATTCACGCCTGCGTCGCGCGAAATACGATGCCGATAATAACGCTAATAACACTACTCGCACACTGGGTCGCGTGTGGTCTATCGCGAAACGCCTGGGCATACGGGATCGATTTACCGCGCTCGAGTTTAGGCACCTAGGCACGACGCCAGACAAGCCGATTCCGTCGCGCTTTCTCGGGACGCGTTTGTCCAGCGGAGAAATGAAAAGAAAAAAACAAGGGATAAAAATATAGAAACGACGTCGCGTGACGGTTGTCGCTTTGTCGTCGCGACGACAACGAGCGTGGCATGCGCTTCGATGGGTCTCGACGATGATTAAGTCTCACGGCGATAACAACGACGGCATGTAAATTCGTTTCTATCGCGTATGCGATTCTACGAACGACACGCGGAAGCGCGGCGCTTTGATGTCCCGATAGCGGACGCGGGATGTCGGTCAATTGTAATTACCGGCGCGTTTAGCGGGAACCACTTCTACATCCGCGTACGCGATACCGGGTGGCACGTTTCTGCGTACTGAGAGAATGAGAGAGAGAGAGAGAGAGAGAAGAACGAGAGCGCAGAGTGATTTAGATGCACTGCACCAGCCCTACACGCCATTTGTCGCGTTTCGCGAGAATCGCGTTTTTGCGCTCCCTCTCTTTCCTCTCGAGAGCCTCTCGCGACTCGGCGGAGTTAATAATCCATCGGCCGCAGCGCGCCGCGCTGTCTCGCTGTCTGCGCTTAGACCGTTAGTGCGCGAGCTCTTCTGGCCTCGGAAGATTCATTAGCATACGGGGCCAGGCCGGCGTGCAGGCCACGCAAGTAACATCCGGTGTTGCCGGTGGTACGCGCCGCGCGGAGTCGTCTCGTAGACACCTTTAATTAGACGCGGAAAAATAATTAACGCGCGCCGTTTCGTCCGCTCGCGCGCGTCTTTCAGGAATGGAGGACGTAAAAACAGCCCGACCTC